TTTATTGTTAAAAATTTGACCCAGAACTTTCATCTTTTTCACATCTCTTTAGTTTACTTGTCTCAATAATTACTTAGATTGCCTACAAAACTTCCCTGAGACATTAGGCAAAATCAACTATTGTTCTAAGTTATTTTCTCTGCTGAGAAATTTTGTAATGGAGATAACATGTCTGTATCATATCCAATGCTGATAACTCTGGAAATATATCTACTTTGATCAAACCAACAAACTTAAATAAGCTTTCATTTACCAAGCATTGTTTATATCACATTAACTTGAAAGACATTTGGCTTAGTTTTTATTACATTTACTTTAAGCCAATTAATAGAGATCTTTTAGAAATTATATGATCCAGAGGGAGAAAAATCTCAGATTTACAACATATACATATAGACATACATGAACAGAGAGACAGAGACCTTATAGCTTCTGTTAAATTATTTTTTATTTTATTTTTTCTTTTGGTGAGGAAGATTTGCCCTGAGCTAACATCTGTGCCAATCTTCCTCTATTTCGTATGTGGGATGCCTCCACAGCATGGCTGATGAGTGGCATAGGTAAACACCTCGGATCCGAACTCACAAACCCCAGGCTGCAGAAGCAGAGCGCACTGAATTTAACCACTACTCCATGGGGCCAGCCCCTTAAATTCTTGACTAATATGCTAGATGTGGAGCAAGGGCACTTCTATAGCTGTGCTTCTTTCCTTTTACAGAATAGACCTAATCGCAAGATTGTATTATAGTTCAAAGACCTGTTCTCAAGCCATACCTCACCAGACCCCAGTGAGTACTGGGGCCAGGCCGTAATACAAAAGAAAATATACCATTTACACACAATATAATTTACATATAACATAGATCAGAATGCTAGCTAGACTGCCAGGAGTACTCAAGACCAGACTGCCAGGAGTAACTTCCAAGTGAACCTTTTGCCCTGTCTCTAATTATCTTGGGTTGTCCAGGTCGAAGATTCAGGACTCCCCAGAATACAAGTCAAACTTATATCTCCAGAGGATCAAACTGGAGAGACAAAGTAAGGACAGTCACTTTCTTAAAGTTACTCACCCAGAGCCCAGAGACATCTTGATCCAGAAGCAATTTCTTTTTGCAAAAGTGAAAGAAGCACCAAGGAGCTGGAGTGCTGCGGCAGGGAAGCAGGAACCCGCCAACTGAGCCTGTAGACACATTCGGTCTAGGTGGCCACTTAGGGTCAGTGGCAAGGGCCCACACCCCATGGGGCCTACAGTGCCTCAGGCAGGCGGTCATAAGACCTTGCTCCCTTCATGGTTGCCAGAAATTGTTACCAAGCAAGAGCTTGCTGCCCAATGCACATAGAAGCCAATACTATGGCACCAGCTTTTGAGAAAAGAAAGAGCTTTATTGCAAGGTCAACTGACAAGGAGACAGGAGGCAAAGCTCTCAAATCTGTCTCCTTGATCCAAGGTTTGGGGCAAAATTTAAGGAGTTAGGGGCTACTAAGCTGCAGCTGGGCCCATGCAAGCTGATGGGCTAGTCTCGAATCAGTCCCTGTATGGTAATCAAGCTACATGGGCTGCTGGAAGCCAGATTTCCCTTATTGAAGGCCGGGGTCATCCTGGGGCTATGGGTTCCTACCTGGCACATGCCTAGCGCCGTCTCTGTTATTGAGTAAAGTTTGATTAATCAACAACTTGTTTTAAGGAAACAAAACTTGTTTAAGCTGGTCAATATTTTATGCGCTGTTTCAGCACTAACAACAACAACAATAAAAAAGAAATGAGGGGCTGGCCCGGTGGCGTAGTGGTTGGGTGCGTGCATTCCACTGTGGCGGCCCAGGGTTTGCCGGTTCAGATCCTGGGCGTGGACCTACTCACTGCTCATCAAGCCATGCTGAGGTGGCATCCCATACAGAAGAGCTACAACTCTACAACTACGATACACAACTACGTACTGGGGCTTTGGGAAGAAAAAAACAAAAAGAGGAAGATTGGCAACAGATGTTAGCACAGGGCCAGTCTCCCTCCAAAAAAAGAAAAATGAGCTGTCAAGCTATGAAGACACGGAGGAAACTTCAGTGCATGTTACTAAGTGAGAGAAGCCAGTCTGAAAGGCTACATACTGTGTGGTTCCATCTATCTGACATCCGGAAAAGGCAGAACTACGGGGACAGTAAAAGGATCAGTGACTTCCAGGGGGTGGGGGGAGGGGGGACTGAACAGGCGGCATGCAGAGGATTCTTAGGGCAGTGAAACTACTCTGTGTGATGTCCAACATACACATCCTATCCATGTTTTGTTAAATTTATACCTAAGCGTATTTTTGAGTGGTTGTAAACGGTATTGTATTTTAGTTTCAGTGTACACATTCTCATTGCTAGTACACAGGAATACAGTTGACGTTTGTATGCTGTCCTTGTATTCTGTGACCTTGCTGAACTCACTTATTAGCTTTCTTATAGATTCCATAGAATTTTCTACATAGATCACCATGCTGTCTGCAAGTAAAGACAGAACATCCAGTACAAAGTTGAACAGAAGTGGTGATAGTGGTTATCTTTGCTTTTTTCCTAATCTGGGGGAAAACATTCAGTCTTTTACCATCAAGTGTGATGTTAGCTGTGGTGATTGCAAAGATGCCCGTTACCCTGCTGAGGAAGTTCCCTTCCAGTCTTGCTTTGTAGAGGTTTTTTTTTGTTTTGTGTGTGAGGAAGATCAGCCCTGAGCTAACATCTGATGCCAATCCTCCTCTTTTTTCTGAGGAAGATTAGCCCTGAGCTAACATTGTGCCCATCTTCCTCCACTTTATGTGTGGGACGCCGCCACAGCATGGCTCGACAAGCAGCGTGTTGGTGCGCACCCAGGATCCGAACCGGCGAACCCTGGGCCGCCACAGCGCAGTGTGCGCACTTAACCGCTTGCGCCACCGGGCCAGCACCCCTTTGTAGAGTTTTTTATCAGGAAATGGATGTGGGATTTACCACTTTTTTATTTTTGCATTTTTGAGGTAATCGTGGAGTTTTTCTTTTCTGTTAATACAGTAATCTACATTGGTTGATTTTCAAATGTGAACAAAACTTGACTCACTGGAATAAACTCCACTTGGTCAAGATGTCGTATTCTTTTTTTCAAGTCTTGTTGGATTCAGTGTGCTAGATTTTGTTAGAAACTTGCATACCTGTTCGTGTCATATTGTTCTGTAGTTTTATTCTCCTGTAATCTTTATTTGATCTGACATCGAGGCCTGCTGGTTTCACAGAACGCACACATCTGTACTAGCTTCCCTTCAACACTCACCCTCACTCCACACGGTTCACATGACGGTGTGCTTTGTGGTCCAGAGCCGCTAAACCAACTCCACGATCCACTCTGGTCCTCCCCCAGATAACCAGCCTGTCCCTCCCCCTGTCCACTGTGCTGCTCCTTGTGTCCTCGAAGGCCCATCCTTCCCTCGTGGTCCCTCTTGAATTGGGCCTGGCCTGTGGCTGCTGTCTACCTCTTTTTCCCTTGCGAGTTTGGAGCAGGGCCTGCTGTTTGCTCAAGGGAGCTGTGGCGGGAGCCTGTGTCCCTCCCCACCTGCTCAAGGGGCTCTGCCTGACCCCTAGGGAGCCTTCTCAGCTAAGGAGGGCCGCCTCTCCAGGGCAGACCAGAACCCCTGGGAGCCACGTTTAGAGTTTGGAAAAGTGTGTTCAGTATTCTCTTCACACTTTATTTATAACGCAAGCCCCAGTAAAGCCAGATCACGCTCACGTTTCACGTTTAAATAAAAGAGGACTCAAAAACTGCTATCCACGAGAACTCCACCCAAAACAAGAAACAAAAAGCATTGTTGGTGCCAATGTTCTTCATTTCTGATAAATGAAAAGCCAAACTGGATATAATCCTGATTTTATTTTCTCATTTAAACATTGTAAATTTCATTGTACTCCAAGATTGTGCTATTCAAAGTGGCAGCAGACGCATCAGTGGGGGGCTCCTTTGAAAGGCAGGATTCCGTGTCCCACCCTAGGCCTGCTAAATTAGAAACTGCTTTTTAACAAGATCCCCAGGGTGATTCTGTGCACATGATGGTCTGTGTTGGTGCCATGCTTAGAATCTTCACAAAGAATGTATGGATATCATTCTACATAATTTTGCTTTTTAAATTTAGGTATTTCAATCATCTGGAACTAATTTTTATGTTAGGTGTGAAAAAAAGTGCTCTAACAATTTTTCCCTAAATGATTAATCAGCTGTCTTGGTATCTTTTATTGAGTATCCATCTTGTCCCTACTAGGGACATATTAAGTGGGGAAAAAAGAAAAGCTAATTATAAAATCACATAAATAGTATGATCTTATATTTGTTCAAAGAAAAGATAATGCAAAAGAAATGAACAGCACTCCAAAGATAAATACTGTCTGAGCTGTGATAGGATAAGCCAAAGATTCAGAGCCGCTTGGAAGAAAACTGTGCCTAAGTCACAGGCCTTCAAACATCCCGTTCCTACACAGAAAACAACCAACCTTTGGTTGAGATAGGGGTAGGGGGAGAGGTGGGTACAGTAATTATCTTGAGCCTGCAAAAATAATTCTCTCAAAGACCACATATCCTATGATACCATTTATTTGAAATGCCTGGATAGGCGAACCCACAGAGACAGAAAGGAAATTACTGGTTGCCGGGCTCAGGGATGGGGAATGCGGAGGGAGTGCTCATGGGTATGGGGATTTTCTTTTGGGCTGATGAAAGTGTCCTAAAATTGACGGTGGTGACGGATCGGCAGCACCGTGAATACACTTAACCGTCGAATCGCACACTGTAAATGGATGAACGTGTGGCATGTGCATCCGCTCTCAATAAAGCTGTTAAAAGGCTCTTAATTCTTGGCCAGCATTTGTTGAGCGCGTTAACTACAGGCGCCCTTCGCTGTTCTAGGACAAACTCGAAATACGAGGTGTATTTATCTGAGTTTTCACCTAGCCTGCAGGCCGCCTGGTCACACCGGTATTTGGGGCACTGTCTAGCTGTCTACCAGCAGGGCGCACGGAGACGTCGCGTCCCCGCACGCCGAGACGGGGCGCCCCACAGCACCCCTCCTGTTGGAGCTTTCCCTCCAGCACGTGGAGAGGCTCCTCCTGCGTGCGTCCCGCTACCCGCCAGGCCCGGCGGTCGGCACCTCGTGGTCACTGGGCCCCGGGCGGGGCGGGACCCGCGGTCACTCGGCGGGGCGGTCCGGCCCC